CGGGGGTCGGGTTTCGCCCTGCTCCCCGGTTTCGCCCTGCCCCCCGAGGAGGTGCTCGGGAGCTGGGAGCGGTCGGGAGCCGTGCGCTGGCACAGGGTGGGCCTGGGCGCGCTCTTCCCTCGCGTTCCGTGCGAGGAGGCTGTGCAGGCTGCAGGGGCTCCTGCTCGGGCAGGTTTTCCTGCACGGTTCCTTTATACTTGGGCGAGAACCCTGCAGACATAATAATACCGTTATAACTGTAACTTAAAACACGTTGTGCATCATTTTGCAGGGAGCCTTTTTGTAGCTTACAGCTTTGACTAAAGACTAAATCTGGAGTATCTTACCAAGTTTTTTTGGTCCGCATTGTTAAACTATTCTTTGGTCTTACGGCCCAACTGTAGTAGTGTTTTGATATGAAGTGTTTGAGTGCAGAAATGGAAAGGATCGAATATAATGGAGAACTTGGAGGTGGTTTCAAGGTGTGTTTAGTGAGATTATGGTTACTGGCTTATAAAATATGTAAAGACCTCTTAAAATAAGAGAAACTTCTTCTAATTAAATTAGCTAGCTGTAGTGATCTTTGCTTTGTTTAGACAGAAATACTATACCTCCTCTTTTTCCTTTCAAAGCAGCCTAGACTGGTTGAAGTTCTAAAATTTCCTAAACCTCAAATACAAAAAATAATTAACACAGCTTTTTTTTTTTTTTTTCATGATTTTGTGTCTGAAAATATTTTAACTGATTTATGGGTTTTATTTTAGGCTTCAGTCAGGTACATGGTAGTGTAGAATTCTGCCTGTTTAGTGTAAAACATAAGGATTTTTAAACCCTTAGGTTGGAGAACCTTCAGATCAAGAATTTCTTAAATGCTATCGTGATTAGGTTGTATCTTGGCTGAAATATCTTGGTGGCATTTAAGAATGTTATGCTTTCAAAGTAATGCAGTATTTATAGCTTTGAAGAGTTGGTCAAAATAGTAAGTCAGTCTTGAAAACAAGAGGACTCCTTTTTTCTTTTTCCTTGCCCAACATAAAATCTGTACGCTGACAGGGGGAGGGAGTCATACCATTCCAGACCCTTCTAAAGAGTACCAGAATACATCAGGTACCATCTCTTCAAAATGTCATTGGCATGTGCTGCTAAAGGTGTGTTACCCCCCTCTTTCTGTGCACTGCCTCCAAGTGCCCCATTCTGCAGCAGGGTCTGAGCTGTACACAGTTGAGGTTTCCAGGCTGGGTCAGCGCAGTTAGCTGTACTGTGTGCCTGTGCCTTACCCGGTATGTGTTGGTTGTAGGTTTGTAGCAGGGGCTCCGGTTGCATCAAGTCCCCTTTCCCTTGCTTTTCAGTGGGGACTGTCCTCCGGTGCTTCAGAAATACAGGGTAAGATGGATACTCGCGCCCAGTCCTGACTTCCAAAATGGCTGGAAAAAGCCGTGTGTTTCATTTGGTGGAGTATATTTATGTAGTAGCCTGCTTTAGCCTAGTGGTTCCCAACTTGCAGATTCCCAAGTCTGCGAAGTCTGAGCAGATCCACCAAGTCAGGCACTGCCCGGCACAGCATAAGGCCAGTCAGTGTGTTCCTGTGTCACAGTTGCAGAAGCAGGAGAGCTGGAGAGCACTGCACAGAGAAGCTCTTTTCATTCACAGTCCTGATGTTGTTGAAGCTGGTAGTAGTGGTAGCATGAGACGCAGCACTTCGGGGATGGGATTTGGCTGGGGAGTTAAGACCTGCTCATAAGTGAAACGTTGACACGTACTACTTAAGAGAACAAGCAATAAAAATTTGGAAATGTTTCCTCTCAGCCTTTCATGCTGCACTACAATTGTACTAAAACAATAGGCTCCAATGCAAATCATGGCATTCCTCAGTGGAAATGGGTAACCATACCTCTGCTCTTTAATGACATGATGATGTCCCTTTCCATAGGAGTTGGTTCTAGCCCATCACTAGTGTTTGTAGAAGCTACAGCAGTATAAAAATGCTTGGAGGTATTCTGTTATTTGTCAGTGATGCAGAGGAAAGAAATAACAATGTTGAGTCCAGTAATGTTGACAGGCGAGTGAAAGGCAGCGTATTTATCTTTGGTATCTGGTATCTTTTCACTTAGCTGGATTTTTGTATCACTCTTCGTGTACTGGATGTAGTCATTCAACAGACAAATAGTCTTACCTTTGAATTCTAACTCATTCTGTACTTGAGTAACAACAGTGTAACAGTAAGTAACTCTGCCAGCTGACTGAAGTCCTGCACCTGAAATGGCATAGCACTGTACAAGCGGACAGGTGAGAGGCCAGCCAGCTAGCAAGCAGATTTGTGAGAAAGGAGCTTGGAGTCCCCACAGACAAGTAAGTTGAACATGAGTCAGCAGTTCTTGCAGCGAAGAAGGCCGACAGCATCCAAGTGTAGCCAGCAGGTCAAGGGAGATGCTTCTTCCTCTCTTCCCAGCACTGCTGAGATGCATCCAGAGTACTGTGTCAAGTTCTGAGCTCCCCAGGAGAGAAGAGACATGGGCATACTGGAGTGAATGGTTATGAAAATGGTTTAGGGAACTGGAGCACAGGAGGCTGAGAGCTGGGTTTGCTCTGCCGTAAGAACAGAAGAATCAGGGGTGATCACAGTGTTATCTATATCTATTTAGTGGGAGGATCTAGAGAGGACAGGATCGGATCCTTCTCAGAGGTGCAGAGTGAAAGGATGGATGGGACGGGCAGTGGACACAAGCTGGAGCACAGGGAAATCTGAATAGATACACTGACTGGGCAGATTTCTAAATAACCTAAATTATTCTGTGACTGTAATAAGAAAGTTACTAGCCATTTATTTCACGAGTAACCCCATTCTAAGAAAGAGAGGCAGGTGAACATGATTTTGAAAACCAGTTCCTGAATCAAGAGTGTGTGGTTAAGCTCAATTATAAGAGAAGTATTACACTGATGTATCTGAATATAGGATATTTATTGATATGTCTGTGAAGCAAAATACAGAAGATTGTGTGTAGAGTTGATTGCTAAAGTTTAATGGCATATATATATATACACACACTTGGTCAAACGTTAATGGCAAAAACGTACATTTATGGATATAAATACGCTTAATTGTGTCAAATGACAGTTCTTTTGAAGCTTTCCTTCTCCAGGCTTGGTTAGAAGCATAGGATCTTTCAGAGCATTATCAATCTGTGTTTTGAAAGAAAGAGATACTATTATTTTCCTTCTCCATAGGTGCTTTCCTTAGTAGGTTTCCTAATAGCTTTTTCTTTTTTAGAAAATAATTTCAGGAATGGCTGTGTTGCCTTGTATTCAGTATTCGCTTTTTTGTATGACAGTGGGTTTTCTTAATTTGGCGCTAGCTTTTGTTTAAAGAGGCTGCAGGTTTAATCAATAAAGGTGACTGCATTGATTTCATGGGATGTGTCTCCTTTTCAGTTAAGCTTCATGCAGGAGGCCCTGAGTTGCCACTTGTCTGGATATACTAGCCAAGTCCGAGCTAATAAGCCTTGCTTCTCAGCAAGAAGAGGAGTCCATCTTGAGAAACATAAGGATTCAGACTACTTAATTTATTTAGGAGAAAAGCAAGAGATAATTTGGTGGAAAGCTGCTTTTTTTTTTTTTTTAAATGATAAAAAAACTTTCTAATCTAGTGAAAAAACAGGATAGAGACTAAAAGGTGCAATTTCACCCTATGGTGAAGTTAAATACTTGAAACAGTTGGTCTAGGGCTTTCATGTGTAATCTTTAACCAAATCTTTGTAACTAACTCTCCACTGAGACGCACGCACTCAGATTTTGTCTAGGTTTAACTTGATCTTATTGGTGGGTGTTTTTTTTTCCCTCTAATTGTTGGTATTTCAGTTTCTCAAAAGTGGCATTGATTACAAATCTAACGTAAGTTATAAATTCCAATATAAAACTGGGTGAATGGTGTTAATGCATCGTGAATCTTCAGATTTTATATCAACTTCTTCAGCCAAGAATAGGGATTCAAGCTGGAAATTTTTATAGAATAAATACTAAAACTTTTAAAAAAAAAGTTTTAAAAAAACTTGTCAGAAAATCCCATTTCAGTAAAATGGCCGTGACTTTGATTTGTACATTGTGGCTGTGGTTCTGAACAAATTTTAGATATTACAAATATTTTGGATAAAACCTCTGCAACTACTGAAACACTTTACAAACTACTCAGTTCAGTATGTGATGCAGATGGAAATAATTCTGGGAATTCTTAATGTCAACATTGGGTTGAACTCTCATTATATTCATTTCTGTATGCACAAAATGATACATCCACTGAGATCCCCAAGAATTGAGTAGGTGATGCAATACTATGCTGTGTTGCATTAAACATTGTTTTTTTTCCTTACAGGGTAAAATTCTCTACAAAGTACGGTGGAAAGGATATACCTCTGATGATGATACCTGGGAACCAGAGGTTCATTTGGAAGACTGCAAAGAAGTGCTGCTCGAATTCCGAAAAAAAATTGTGGACAATAAGCCCAGACCTCTTAAAAAAGACATACAGGTGTGTTTCACCTTCCAGTATCTTATGCTGAAGACGTATTCCCTGTCTAGGCTCTGCTAAGAGGAGGAGGGAGAAGGGAAGACATTTGGGATAGGAATTAAGAAGACTTAAAGTATCTCTTAAATCTAAAAATGTTTTATTTCATGTGAAACTGTATATTGTTACTGCTCTCTGGTTAGGGATTTTTTTTTGTTGATTGACAAGTGTGCTTGTAGACTCGAAATCCATCTAAGTATTTCAGTTTTTAGTGGGACTAAATAAGTGATGTATGGTCAGTTTAGTTTG